ACTGGATCATCTTTCCACCCACAGCCCCCGGGTTTGGGCCTGGCTGTGATCCACAGCGTCCCAGAGTGGTTTGGGTTGGAAGGGACCTTGAAGACCATCTCATTCCAACCCCTGCATGGACAGGAGCACCTCCCACTGGACCAAATTCGGTGCAGAGTGTTTGCCACATGCACCGATGGAGGGAACGGGTGACTCCCTTTGGGGCTTGAATCCCGTGTGGATTTTATATCCCAGGCAGGGAAAGTTGCTGGAGCTGCTGCTCTGAGTGTTGCTCCAGCTGAGCTATTCAGGGATCTCTCCCATCCTGTTTTGGCCCTAAAACCAGTGTGAGCAAGGACCAAAGTTTCCCAGGGAGGGGCTTTGAACCCTTTGCTGCAGAGCATCTCCCTGCTGTGCTCGGCTCCCCAGCTGGGACCAGGCGGGCAGTGACTTCTGCCAGCACCCCCTACCACCATCAGGGTGATGATGAGACATGGGAACAGCGTCTCTGGAACAGGCACAGCTTGCCTGGAGAAGCTGCCCCATCCTGGAAGTGTCCAAGGCCAGGTTGGACGGGGCTTGGAGCAACCTGGGCTGGTGGAAGGTGTCCCTGCCCATGGTGGGGGTGGCACTGGATGAGCTTTAAGGTCCCTTCCAACTCAAAGTTTTCCAGGGTTCTGATGCTGTGCTTTGGCTCAGGATTGTGATTTCTGCCTGGGGTTGTGGGGGTGGAAATACTCCTGATACTGGATCTCTTCTGATGTTGAACTTTTCTGGGAGGAGACACCCTGGTATCTCCCTGTCATCTCTCTGTGGGACTCAGCCAGCCTGGGGCTGGCACTGGGAGCATTTTGGTGGCAGCCTGGGGTAGACACAAGTCTGTAGGACGTCTACAGACAAGTGCAAAGTCTCCTGGCCATTCCTTGGCCTTGCAGTGATTCAGCTTGGAATGCTTTCCGAGTTCACTTCCATGGATTCCATCCATCCCATTCACAGTGGGAACGTCTCCTGACGCCCTTTGCTGTAGTAGGAGGAGGAGGGTTTGTTTGTCAGGCTGTCTCCATGATGGAGAACCTGTTCACACCACTTCCCTGGGCGCCCAGAAAGGTGCCAGGAGATGGAGAAGGGGGGAAAATTGTGACCAAACGTGGTCCCCATCGCTGTGGGGCCACCCCCGGAGGGCGCTCCTGGGCTCCTTGGTGAGGGTGTCTGCTCGCCGAGGGCATCGCTGCCCTCCTGCTCTGCCCCCAGGGAGGGCGGCAACCCAAAATAACGAGGCAGGGAAGCTCCAGCTGCTCCTCTCCATGCGGGAGATGCCCCGGCATCCCAGCTGGCAGCCGGGGAGTGACGGGAACCATCCCCCCCGGCCGCTGGCGGGGTGGCAGCGGGGGCACGGAGGGCCGCGGTCCCCGTCACCTCCGAGGCGTGCGGGTGCCACTCAGGGACCGGCGGTGGCTGTCACAGCTGCCTGTCACCGCCGGGGAGGCGGCTGGCAGGGCTCTGCTCCCGCGTCTCCTGTCAGAGCCGCGCCGGAGGTGGCTGTCACCCTCTGCCCGCTCGGCTTCCCCCCTTCCCCGCTCCCCTCCCGGCACATCTGATCCCATCAAGCTCCGGCTGTTGACTCAAGGATAAGCTGTGCAGGAGCTGTGACCTTTGCCGCTGCGGCGAAGGCACCGCGGAGATTTTTGGGGTGGTTTTGGGGTGGCACCGCCTGGCACCAGGGTCTGCGCCGCCCTGATGTGCTGGGGGGGATGGTGTCGTCGGGGAGCGGGGTTTGGCTTTTGGGAGCCCCTCCGGGTGCTGGGGAGGCAGGAAAGGGATGGGGGCTCGCCCTGGGCTGCTTCTTCCCTGGGAAATTCCACTCGTGCCCGTTAAATATCGTCCCGGAGGAGGAGAGCGGGGTGGGGGAAAGGGGTGTGCGCAAATTATGCGACGGGAAGAGCGAGGAGAACTTGGAATTTGAAGCCGTGCAGGAAAGGTTGCCGGTGATAAAGGTTTAAGTAATGACTGACACGCGGGCAGGGGAGGTCGGGAGACATCAATAGTCGGGAGCAGCTCGGCGTGGCTGGTGCGGGGAGGAGGAGGGAGAGAGACAGAGAGACAGGCGCTGTCACGCTCCAAAGCTTGCGAGGATCAACTGATCCCGCTGCCCCCGGGTCTGGCATTTCTCCAGCCCGGGGTCCTCACGACCAAGCCCCCCCTCCTGCAGCAGCCAGACGTGCTCGCGGGGGGTTTTGTCGCAATTACCTCTAATCGTGGCAATCCGGGGGGTTTCTGTGAGAATATTCCTCACCTTCCCTCTGCTTATCACCCTGATTTAACGCCGGCAGGGAGAAGCAGCTTTTCCTCCGGGTGGGAATCTCAGTGCACAGGTTAAAGGGGAAGGAATTGCCAATTAACCCCGCAGCTCCCCAAACTCTCGGGGCTGTTCCCCGCGGCCCTGAGGTGCCTTCCCCTGCCCTCCCGCCCCGCTCGGCTGCTTTTCCCTCCTGCAAACAGCGGGTCTATTGTTAAACGCCGCCATCCCACGTGTATCGCTGCCTCTAATGAGCGTAATTAGCCGCGAATCACGCAGGTCTCATTTGTGTTCGGAGATCAAAATCCCCGATACACTTTAATACCTTTTTGCAGTGAGCACATTTAGAAAGTAATTAAAAGGCTCAGCAGCCGCCTTTGCCTCCGTTCCCTCTCCCCCCTCCCCGGGCTGGCAGGATTTAATTGAGGCCAGCTGAAAGTTTAGTGGAAAATAAATTGTGGCTGATAAAGCGGAGGATGTAATTTAATTCTGGGAGAGGAGCTGTTCCTGCCCGGGTGTTTAGTTCTTCGGGGACCGGGGTTGGAAGGGGGAATGATGACAACTCATTTGTGTAATGTGATTTACTGATGAGACAGGGACGTTAAGGGAGAGATGGGGCTCGGGAGTGGAGTGGTGACATTGTTTGGAGTGGTGACACTCTTTGGAGCGTCACCTCTGGGATTTTGGGGACCAACTCTCCACCCCCGGGAGGCTGCAGGCGCTGGGGCAGTGGGAGGTGGGTCGTCTCAATGGCTGGGGAGAACCACGGGTCAAAAATATCAGTGTGGGATGAGACAGCCGAGGCAGGGATGGGGGAATCAATCCCCCTTCATCGGCTTGGAAGGGGCTCAGAAAAATCAGGCAGAATGACTTTTGACATGGGTAGTGACAGGACACAGGGAATGGCTTCCCACTGCCAGAGGGCAGGGATAGATGGGATATTGGGAAGAAATTCTTCCCTGTGAGGGTGGGGAGGCCCTGGCCCAGGTTGCCCAGAGAAGCTGTGGCTGCCCCTGGATCCCTGGAAGTGTCCAAGGCCAGGTTGGACAGGGCTTGGAGCAAGCCGGGCTAGTGGGAGGTGTCCCTGCCCATGGCAGGGGTGGAACTGGATGAGGTTTAAGGTCCCATTCCATCATTCTGTGATCTGACATCTTCATTGCTGGCTTTGCCTGTGGAATGTCCAGGACAGATGCAGTGGAATAAGAGAAGGAGCTGGAGCAGCTGCTGGAGGGACGTGCTGGAGAAGGAGACAGCTTGGGATGGTGCTGGGGAAGGAGGCACTTTAGGATGATCCTGAAGAAAGAGGCAGTTTAGGATGTTGGAAAAGGAACAGTTTAGGATGATGCTGGAAAAGGAGGCAGTTTGGGATGACGCTGGAAAAGGGCAGCAGTTTAGGATGATCCTGAAGAAGGAGGCAATTTAGGATGTGTGAAAAGGAACAGTTTAGGATGGTGCTGGAGAATGAAGCACTTTCAGATCCTGAAGAAGAAGGCACTTTAGGATGCTGGAAAAGGAACAGTTTAGGATGATGCTGGAGAAGGAGGCAGTTTGGGATGATGCTGGAAAAGGAGGCAGTTTAGGATGATGATGGAAAAGAGCAGCAGTTAAGGATGATCCTGAAGAAGGAGGCAGTTTAGGATGTTGGAAAAGGAACAGTTTAGGATGGTGCTGGAGAAGGAGGCAGTTTAGGATGATCCTGAAGAAGGAGGCACTTTAGAATGTTGGAAAAGGAACGGTTTAGGATGATGCTGGAGAAGGGAAGCAGTTTGGGATGGTGCTGGAGGAGGATGGAGTTCAGGATGCTCCCAGGACTTGGTCCCTGGCACAGGAAGCAGGATGTAAATGTAACCTTCAGCAGGCGAGTGCAATTAGAGCTCCCCTCCGCCTGCTATATTAAAATGGGATATTGGAGCAAACAGTGGCTCTCCCGACTCCCAGGGATAATATCCAGCGCATGTTTGCCCAGGGATTTGCCGGCACACGGAGCAAACGGCCGGGCTGCGCCGCTCGGCCCTTGGCTCGTGCTGGGCTTTGGGGCCTGGGACTGGGCAACCTCTCAAATCCCTTATTGAAAATCCAGCCCTTGAATCCCAGCACAGATTCCCGCCTCTCTGTGGCCTCTTCTCCGGGAGGAAGAGGAGGGACTGTGCCCTTGCGAGGCCGAAGGGGGATGTGGAGCCCGAGCGCGGCCTCGCTGCTAATTAATGTCCTGCTCCAGTGCTAATGAACTCACCTCTTCTTCCTCACCCTTTCTCCCTCCTTTTCCCACGGAAGGAGAGCACCGAGGCTGCTTTTTGCTCTCCTCTTGGAATACAAGTGGAATCTCCTCCTGACCGCCTGACACTCGGCGTTTTGCTCAGCCCCCCCCGCCAGACGTGATGTCTTACTAGAAAGTGTAAAAGATGCTGTTCCAGCTTTATTTTCCCTTTCCCGTTTGGACATCACGACGTGATTCCAAAAGCTTCGCAGCCCTGCTCTACCTGCACGTGGCAGAGCACCCCCCTGCTCCAAACTGGGTGCTGGGGGACAGGAGACCCCCCCTTTCCCTCACACCCAAACACAAAGCCCAGAGGCCTCTTCTTTCCCGAAGGGAAGTGTCTCCAAGGGGAAATATCAGGAAACCCCCTTTTTTTTTTTTTTTTGGTGTGCATTCTTTGCTCCCCTCCCCAGAAAGCTGGACCCTGTCTCTGGTTTTCCCTGATGGTTTGCCCTGTCTCTCCTGCAGATACGCTGTCAGTGCCTCGCTGGTCCCCGCAGATCCCCCGGCGGGATCTGGGAAACTCCATAAAACACAGGTACTCCCACCCTGCTGTGATCCCAGGGGGAGGAATATCTCCCTTTCCATCTCTGAGCCAGGGCAGAGGGCTCAGGACTCTTCCCTATCTCTCCCCAGCTGTGCTGTGCTGTCCCAAAAGCCCAGTTAAATTCCCTTTCAGTCCAGATCTGGGTTAGATAAGGCCTGAGTCGCTACCAATAAAAGCTGGGTATTATCCATGACCTTGCCAACCTTCAGCAAATTCCCCATCTCCGGATTATTGCCCTTCCACATCCACCTGAAGAGGGAAAACCACTGGAAATGGTCTCAGTGCTGCTGTTTGATGGGGCAGCTGCTGGGCTGGACACTCGGGTCCCCAGGGCAAGGAGGGGTTTTGGGGGGTGCCTGGGCTGGGCAAATGCCCATCCTGGCTGGCTCAGAGCACTTTGGAGCAGGTTGTGCCCTTCTGCATAACCAGAGCGGGGTCAGGTTTGGGGTTTGGCATCCTTAGAAAGACTCCTCAGCACCCGCAGCAGTGTTTGAGGGCAGCAAGGGCAGGATAAATCAAGGCTCAGGAGATAAGTGTGGCTTCATCCCTCCCTTCCCACTGTCTGTGTTTCCCTCCGCAGGTTTTCCACCAAGTACTGGATGTCTCAGACCTGCACTGTCTGTGGGAAAGGAATGTTGTTCGGCTTAAAGTGCAAAAACTGCAAGTACGGCGGGGGCTGGAGCTCTTTGGGTCACTCCTCGAGCCTGGGAGGGGATAAATTCGGGATCTGCTGGTGGAGCTGAGCAGGAACTTGGGCGTGAGGAGGCCAAGCAGCTCATCCTCCCAGGAAGCTTTAATGAGACCAGAAATGGGGTGAACACCAGCCCAGAGCAGGGCTGAGGTCGGGGGGTCCTTGGGGACGATGCCGCTCACCAGAGCCCGGCTCTGCTGGTACCAGAGCTCTGAGTCAGATCCTGGCAGTGCCCCCTGCTCGCTGCCATCCTTGGCCTGGCTTTAGCTCCTCACATCACGTGTTCCATGTGGAATTACCTGCAGGAGATGGGGATGGATGCACCAGACTGGGCTGGCTCTGGGTGTTGGGTGGGTTTTGCCCCCAGCCTTGGGCTGCAGCTTCTGCTTTTTTCTTGGGGGGGGGAGTATCTGTTTCCTGGCACTGAGGAGCCAACCCACCCTAAATCCCAATTCAGCCACGAGGCAAAGGAGGGAGGCTGTAAAATCAGAGAGAACTGGGCAAAGAGAGGCTGGGGCCACTTCACTGCTCTAAATCTGGCAGAGCCCAGCTCAGACAGTGTCACACGGCCACCAGCTCTTAGGTAAGCTGCTGCTGGAGACAGGATTGCCTTTTCTAGGGCTGGGAGCTGGGAATAGGCTCGTTGTCTGCAGGTATCTGAGCTGGCTGGAGCTGTGGGGTGACCATGATCGTTCTTGTTGTTGATTAAACGCTGATGAGTTGGGAAATTGGGATTTAAACCTGACTAGAAATGCCTGGTTACTCCACAGCTGGGGGTGGCTTTCTGGAAGTGATATTATCAAATCCAGAGGTTTTAAAGGGGTGATTCCTGTTGCAGTCCCCATCTCAAGCAACTGGAGGCTTTGCTGCCTGCAAGCCCTGCCCGGTCTCTGTGCGGGAAGAGGGATGTTGTGCCTGGTCCCTGCCAGGAACAGGGATGCTGTACCTGCCCCAGCAATGCTGTGGCTCTGGCTGTGTCAGTCCTGCTCCCTGCAATCCTGCAGAAAGGAACAAATCCATTCCCTGGCTGTAAGAAGTTGGGGTGAACACAGGTATTTAGGTTTTCCAGTTCTGCCGTAGCCAACCCCGGCACCGCTTCCCCCAGAAACCAGGGGGGAACCAGCAGGTAAAACAAACAACCAGACCCCAAACCCCCCAAGCCTCAAATACCAAATTAATTCCTGCCTTTCCCTCTAGAACAGCTTTGCAATAAAAGCTAACACGCACAGCTCCTGAATTTTCATTACCCAGCTCATTGACTTGGAGCTGCCGTTCCTCTTTTTTTTTTTTTTTTTCCCCATCCTTCCCCCTTGTTTTTATAAATCTTTTCCTCCTTTTCTCACCTTTTCCCCCATGGCTTTCCACAGCCGTGGCAGAGCGGGAACCTGGGATGCATTTCCACGCCTAATTAAGGAGGAATGGGGAGCTTTGGGGAGTCTGCTGATGCCTAAATGCATGACCCAGGGGTGAGCCCCTCCACGGATTCCTGCCCCGGCTCCAGGAACCAGGCAAAGCTCCACAGGCTATTCTGTGGAGCCGTAAATGCTCTCCTTATTTTGGCCAAATGGCCCTCAGAAAGCCAAGTGGGGAGGGCACAATCACAGGGACACATCAGGGGCCAGGGCAGCTGCTTCCTCTCCCTCCACTGCCTCTGAATTTTGATGGTTGGAAGAGTGGGGGTTTCATGGGATCATGGAATGGTTTGGGCTGGAAGGAACTGTAATGGCCATTTAGTTCTGAGCCACTGCCACGGGCAGGGACACCTTCCACTGAACCTTCACCCCCGGGCAGGACTCTGCTCCTTTTATTTCAGCCAACACTGGCAGGAGGGGGAATTTGGGGCACCCTACAGCTGGTGGGTGCCTGTTCCTTGACAGCCAGCAGGAAAAGGGGGAGCTGGGCAGTGCCCCTGGTTTGGGAGCTCCTGTGCTGCTCCATCCCAACAGATGCATTTGCCCAGGGCATGCAGCCCCCGTGTCCTGCCAGCCAGCCCACCCTGCTGCTCCATCCTGGGCTGCTCCCTGTCCCTGAGCTGCTCCCTGGGAATCGTGGGGCTTCCCAGGCCCGTGGGGCTCCCCAGGGTTGGCTCAGGCAGTGACACCCAGGGGCTGGGCACGACCAAGGCCTCCCATCCAGTCACCTTCCCGGGGGCAGAGAGGGGCTGATGCTGCTCCCTGTGCCACGTCACATCATGGATTCATAGAATCCCAGAAGGGTTTGGGTTGGAAGGGACCTCAGAGTTCATCTGATCCACGCCCTGCCACGGGCAGGGACACCTTCCACCATCCCAGGTTGCTCCAACCTGGCCTTGGACACTTCCAGGGATCCAGGGGCAGCCACAGCTTCTCTGCCCAACCTGTGCCAGCCCGTCACCACCCTCCCAGCCAACAGTTCCTTCCCAGTATCCCACCTAACCCTGCCCTCTGGCAGTGGGAAGCCATTCCCTGTGTCCTGTCCCTCCATCCCTTGTCCCAGGTCCCTCTCCAGCTCTCCTGGAGCCCCTTTAGGCCCTGGAAGGGGCTCTCAGCTCTCCCTGGTGCCTTCTCCATCACACCCTCACAAGCCGCTCCCTCTGTTTTCCCTCCCAGCTTTTCCCGCTGGGATGTCACTTTTGGAGGGGGACATTTCTTTCTGCTAATCACACAATCCTTGAATATGCACCGGGGCCTCCCCACCCTCCCGGGGAAGAATTCCTTCCCGATATCCCACCTAACTCTGCCTTCTAGCAGTGGGAAGCCGCTCCCCCTTGTCCTGCCCCTCCGTGCTCTCCATCCCGGGATTCTCCGTGTCTCCCTCACCCCTCACTCCTTTCTCTCTGTTCCCTGCCAGGCTCAAGTGCCACAACAAATGCACCAAAGAGGCCCCTCCGTGTCACCTGCTGATCATCCACCGAGGAGGTAAGGGCCTTTCTCCCACCCCCCTCGTGCCTCCACGGGACGTTGCCAGCAGGTAAAACTTCCAGCAGCCCCCCGGGGCGATTCGGGAGCCGGGCCCTGGGAGGCTCCCGAACCGCTTCGGGCGCTCTGGGAAAACTTTACCCACCGTTTTTTCCGCTTGTAGGGAGACGAGCCGTGCGGGGCGAGGCAGATTTGCATTGCAAACCACTTCCACCCACCCTCCCCCTGCCTCCTTTTCTTTTCAGATTCCCCACAGCACGGGGTAAGTCCAACAGGTTTTAGCCTTTTTTTTTTTTGCTCAGGGCGGACGGTGGGACCCCGAAAGCGGTGCATGGGGGTCCCCCCACGACGGGGATGTGGCCACGTGGATGCTCGTGGTGCTTTCGGAGCTGCCTTATCCCGCTCTAAAATCCGTCCTAAAACCCCGCAGAGGAGGGAGAACTTTGCAGCAGGACCGACCGATGGGGCCGCCGCTTCCCCACCCCTTCTCTTCCAGATTTTGGCTGCCCCTTGACGGCCAGAGGACTGTGACCACCTGCCAGTTGTTGCTGCCTTGAATTTTGAGCTCTTAAAGCTGTGGCTCTGTGTTTAAATATCACCACAAATGTTGTTGGTTTGCTGGCGGGGGAGTGGATCATGTTGGTGGCACCTCACGAGTGGGGACGTTGTGCCTCGGAGGGGGCAATTTTACAGCTTCCACTTCACCCTCCCTCCCTCCCCAGGCCCTTCCCTGCAGCAAATTTGGGTGGAAGGGGTTGAAGACACCCCCCCCACCGTCACACTGAGGGCTGCTGCAAACCCTGACCAGGAGGCAGGGAAGGCAAGATCCCGCTCTTCCAGGGCTCCTGGGATGGGCAGACATTGGAGTTTATGGCTGTGGGACGTGAGGTTGTGAGAGCTGGAGCTGCCCACGGTGTCTTTGAGTGTGGGCACAAGGAGCAGCGTGGCTTTGGGGTGGCCTCAGCACCAGTGAAATAGCTCTGCCCCCCCAAAACAAAACCCCCAAACCCAGCTCTTAAACACGTTGTCTTGCACACCAACCATTCCTGAGCCCCCCAGCCTGCAGGCTGGCTTTCCCCCTTGAAAAGAAGTCTCCCTGCTGAGAGCCAGCTCTTTGCCCTCATCCCAAAAAACCTGTGGGGAGGAAGAGGATTGTGCCTCCTCCCAGTGCTGGCTGATCCCCGGCTCTGAGGGTGGCTGTGGCAGCTGCTGAGCCCCCCCCAAACTGCAGCCCCTCGGTGGGGGGAGAAGTGGGCAGTTCACAGCCCACCACGAGGGGCTTTAAGCCCCCCACGTCCCGGGGGGTTTGGCTGTAGCCTGGGAGCAGGGGATCCCAAAGCCCAGCTGCCATCCCAGGGCAGGATCCGAGCTGGAGGTGCCAGGGGGAAGGAATTGCTTTGGAGAGTGATTCCAGAGTGGTTTGCAAACACAGGGTGACCCCGAGGGCTCCTCCAGAGCTCTGATGTCTCTCCCTCTCTCTCCCCCTCCTCTCCATCCCCTGTGTCCCTCTGTCCCTTCCCAATCCAGCGAGGTTAGTCCGGACAGAGTCGGTGCCCTGTGACATCAACAACCCCCTGCGGAAGCCGCCCCGGTACTCGGACCTGCACGTCAGCCAGACCCTGCCCAAAACCAACAAACTCAACAAGGTGAGCTGCTCCCCCAGCCCTGAGCACCCCCTGTGCCCACCCTCTGTGCCCACCCCCTGCCAGAGGGGGCCAGACCCGCCGCACCCGAATATCGGTGGCTCTTCACGGAATCATGGAATTGTTCTGGTTGGAAAAGGCCTCCAAGATCATTGAGTCCAACCCTTCCCCAGCACTGCCAAGGCCACCACTGACCCATGTCCCCAGGTGCCACATCCACATGGATTTAAACCACTCCAGGGATGGAGACTCCACCCCTGCCCTGGGCAGCTGTGCCAGGGCTGGACAACCCTTTCCATGAAGAGATTTTCCCAAATATTCAACCTGACCCTCCCCTGGCACGGCTTGAGCCGTTTCCCCTTGTCCTGTCCCTTGTTCCCTGGGAGCAGAGCCTGACCCCCCCGCCGGCTCCCCCCTCCTGTCAGGGGGTTGCAGAGACAGAAGGTCCCCCCTGAGCCTCCTTTGCTCCAGGCTGAGCCCCCCCAGATCCCTCAGCCCCTCCTGCTGCTCCAGCCCCTTCCCAGCTCCGTTCCCTTCCCTGCACACACTCCAGCCCCTCAGTGTCTTTCTTATCACATGGACATGGATCCAGATGGGGAATCTCCTGGCCCTCAGGGTCTGCCAGGATCAAACCTTGCAGATGTCCCAGCGTGTCTCCAGGCACATCCACCACTATGGATGTCAGCACCTGGGAAGGAGCCACCTATAAACCTGCTTGGAGGCTCCAATTAATCCAATAATCCCATGGATTGGTGCTAATTCAAGGAGCAGGGTGAGGGCAAGCTTGGTGGTGAGGGAGGAGGAGTTGAACTGTAAACCCCTCACCCCTTGGGGTTCCTGTTGTGGGATGCATCCCACGGGGTTCTTTCTTCTAAAAATAAAATGGAATCAGCACTTTTAAACCAGCTGGTTCCTCCTGTCCTGGTCCTACTCTGTTGTGGCCTCTCAGTCTCCAGGTCTGAGCTGAATTTGGGGTGTTTTGAGACCTCTGCTACCACCAGAGACTTGAGTAAATGAGGAATTTATTGTTACAAATAAAACAAGGAATTTGATGGTCCCTGGCAAAACTGGTCAAGGTTCTTCCCCCAGAGGGTGGTTGGGCACTGAACAGGCTCCCCAGGGCAGAGCTCAAGGAATGTTTGGACAACGCTCCCAGGGACAGGGTGGGATTGTTGGGGTGTCTGTGCAGGGCCAGGGGTTGGAATGGATGCTCCTCGGGTGTCCCTTCCAGCTCAGGACATTCCATGGCTGTATGACCCGTGTAGCTGTCACTTGTCCCCGGGGTCCTCTGCCCTGGAGCACCCTTGGAGTGTCACCAACCACTCTCACCGGCCCCTCTCTCTTCTTCTCTCCCTCACTGTGTCCCTCAGGACCACATCCCAGTGCCCTACCAGCCGGATTCCAGCAGCAACCCCTCCTCCACCACATCCTCCACGCCCTCCTCGCCGGCGCCGCCGCTGCCGCCCAGCGCGACACCCCCGTCCCCCCTGCACCCCTCCCCGCAGTGCCCACGCCAGCAGAAGCAGTTCAACCTGCCAGGTACCTCCACGGCTGTCTGGGCAGAGGGGCTCGTGCCCTCAGGGGGTCCTCAGGGTGAGGAGCTGCTCCCTCTGGGCCTATGTCGGGATAGGGAAAAGGCAGAAGTGGCAATGAGCAGCAAGGATGAGTTTGGGGGAATTCAGGTCAGGAGTCTCTATCAAAGCTCTGGCTGGAAGAAGGGTCAGAGCCCAAGGTTTGGTTCAGTTGGGTCTTGGAAACCTCCCAAGGATGAAGCCAGCACAACCTGCTGCTCTTGAGGCTACAAAATCCTTCTCAGGCTTGAATTCTCCAGGGCTCAACTGCGAGTGGAAATCAGGGTCTTACCCCCTCTCCAAGGGCTCCTTGGATTGACTTCACTGTGTCTTTGGGGTGATGGGCCCCCAAAAAGCTTGTTGGCAGCACTTGTGGGTGATAGTGGAAGGGAGGTGATGCTGGGGGTGTCTGACATCAAGGCTTGTCTGGGTACCTGGGACCCATCTGCTCCTGGAGAAGGGACACCCAAGGATCAGGCTCTTCAGGGGTGGTGGGAGGGGCAGTTGGGTCCTGGTGGCTGCAGGACACAGGAGTTACATTAAATGACAAAAAAAATAGCTCCTGCTGGGCTGAGGGAGTCTCAAAGCCTGTCCACCTTTGGGATGGCCTTGGGGCAGTGCTGCTGCTCCAGGGAAGGTCCCTTCCTGGAGAGGAACAGCTCAGCATCACTCCTAGGGGTGTGGAGGGGCTCAGCTGCCCTCAGCCACCCACCTGCCTCTCCAGCTGCTCCCAAAAAAGTCCTAGAGAGTGGAGAGAAGGGGGAGCCCTGGCCCTGACCCATCCTTGAGCTGCTGAAGCACCCGTGGCTGCTCTGGGGCTGGTGGCCCCTCTGTGCTCCATGACCTCAGGCCTCCTTGCTGGAGCAGAAGTTTGGGGTCCCTCCTGTACCCCCAAACCAGCAGTTAATGAACTGGTCCAGCAGGAAGAGGGATCAGGAGAATTCCTCCAGACGAACCAGGTGGCACCTTCCTGCTCTGCTGCTCCTGCTGCACCCTGGTGACGCCACCCTTCCCTCCTGACAAACCCTGAGCTTGAGACGAGGAGGAGGGAGAAGAGGAGGAGGAAGTTGACTGGCAAAATTCATCCCACAACAAAACAAACATTTCCAAAAACCTGGAAAAGCCCCAGCGAGCAAGCAGCAGGTCCTGGTGTGCCTGGAGAGGCTGCAGCCATGCCCGAGGCTCCCTCAGTGGAGTGCCCAGGACTCGAGTGGGGGCTGGAGGGGCCTGAGGAGGACAGTGGAGGAGCTGGGAGGAAGCTCCGAACACCCCAACCCGTGAGGCCGGGATTTTGCCAGCCAAAGCTCTGGAGTGTCCACATTCTGGGAGGACAATCCACAGTGCCACTGAAATCCCGAGGCCATGGCATGGGTTTCCATCCCCAGTGTGTGGTGATCCAGCCAGAGCTGAAGCATCCTGAGGTCTCCACAGTGGGATAACGGGGATCAGAGCTATCAACATCCCCAATCCACCTACTGGGCCAGCCCTGGACCCTCCCTGGGCAGGGAAGAGGGTCCAGAATTTGGTGACCTGATCTTGTGTCACTTCTGGAGCAGAGACCTCCCTGAGGGTCTTTTTGAGACATTATTCATGTTGTTTAAAGCAGAAACAACAGAATTAACCCCCGAAATGGACCCCTTATGGGGGCCTGGCAGGTTTTCCTGTCCAGCAGGGATGGAGTGGGACAAGATCATACCCCAACAGCTCTGGGGGTGCTTGTTCCCTGCTTTCATTCCCTGCTCCAAATGGGAGCTGGACCGACACAAAGCAGGACTCACTGTGCTTTCATCTTCCCTGGAGGGAAGTTCTCCGTGGTTCATCCCATCAAGATGGTCATCCCAGGGATTAGGATTTGGAAATGGCGACACAGGGACCTTTTCCTGCCGGAATTACCTCCGAGGCTCCTTTGATCTCGGCTCAGGTCCTGCTGCAGAGCTGAGGTCGGGCTCCAGGGTCTCAGAGCTGGAGAGGGGAAGGTGAGGGTTGGTCCTTGGGGTCTTGGAGCTTAAGGAAAAAGTGGGTTTTGAGCTGGTGCCAACCTCTGGAGGCCTCAGCAGCTCTGACTTGCTTCGTGCTCCTACACACAGGAGCTGAACCAGCCCTTGGATTTTGCTCACTGGAGATGGGGAGCCAGTGGAGGGTCCCACCACCCAGAGCCCTTCTGCAACACTGGCTTTGGGCAGCAGCCCCCACGACTCCTTTCAGTGCACCAGGAGCTTGACAGGGAGCCCAGGAAGGACACAGCTCCAAAGACGGGAAAAAAAGGGCTGAATTGGGCCAAAATGGGCGGCAAAATCCATCCCTTGGTGTCTCTGTGATGCCAGATGACCCCCAAAGACTGGCTGAGAGCCAGTGCTCAAACCCCATGGGCTTTTCCTGGTAACCAGGTGTCCAAATCCCACCAGTGAGTTCACAGATGACATGAACACTCTCCAGAGGGTGTAGAAGAGCAGCTGATGGGGGCAAAAATCAAATAATAATCCAGCCAGAGGTCTTAATTTTTGGCCTGGGCACCCAGCAGGGGTGGCTTCCTCTGGAGAGGTGGAGGTTGGGAGAGGTTGGGTCACACAGATGGGGGTCATACAACAACCCCCCCTGGGGTTGAGGCTTCATGGAGCAGGACTGGGCATAGTTGGGAGCCTTTCCAGCTCTAGAGATGGATGTTTAACCCTCCCTTCTCTCTTTTCCAGCTTCCCATTACTACAAGTACAAGCAGCAGTTCATTTTCCCAGGTGAGGTTCCCTGGATAATGTGGGGTGCTGGGATCTCCCCTGGAGGGGTGGGTGCATGGCTGGCCCTCCTAAATCCCTGGCTTTGTTCCAGGGAGGCTGGGCTGAGCTGGGATTTGCCCCCCAAAAAGCAGTATATGGATGCAGGGCCGTGCTGTGGGAAGGTGCTGCGGGGTTGGGTGGCCCTGAGTGACCCCCAGCCCTGGGTTGGGGTGTCACTAAAGCTGACCTGTGGGGGAAGGGAAGTTTTAAGCAGGGTTTAGTCGCCCTGGGTGCCCCCCAGACCTCTCTCACTCCGCTCTCCTCTCTCCAGATGTGGTGCCTGAGACTCCAACCCGAGCCCCACAGGTCATCCTCCACCCTGTCACCTCCAACACCATGTGAGTGGCTTCTCCTTCTCGTTCCCAAGCGGTGCCTCCTCCTGCACCCCTGTCGCTGTTTGGATTTGGCTCCCCGCCAAGCCCCTGAACCACACCAAGTGTTCCCCCCCTCTTATTAAAGGAAAGGAAAAAAGGGAAAAAAAAATCCCAAAGGACCCGAAATAAACCGAACTAAAGCAATATATATATATATTTACACGTATGCACCAATACAGAACTATATACATATAAGAAAAGAGAACCCCAACACCCCAAAACTAAAACAGAAAAGCAGATATATGCAAATGTACACAGCTAATGGAGAGCTAACAAACAAAAGAAAGCAGAACTGCTCCCGAGTGAGCAAAACAACAGGCCTCGCAGGCCTGACCAGGCCTCGCAGGCCTGACCAGGCCGCATCCCCACATGAGCGAGACCGGCCACAGGGACCTGCTGTCTGCAAGTCCAATGGAAGAGAAGAGGGCAGACCCTCCTCTCTCCTTCTTATTTATACTCTTGCTTACGTAAAAAATAGGATGGAACATCGGGACATGGCCACTTCCCGAGTTTCGACCTGGTTACCAAGTGTAGTCAGTTGTAGTTGGCCTCTCACCAAACCCCAACAGACCACAGTGAAAGAAAACCCTCCAAAGGGAAAAAATGGAATAGCAAAAGCTATATATATAAAAAATATATATTTTACATACATTACAGAAATATATAATTAAAATACTCTGTGCATATAACCACAGAAACCCCAAACAGCTCCCAGAAATGGAGAAGAGGAAGGGAAAAAGGAAAAAAGGGGCAAAAAGGAATAAAAAACCAAAACAGATATGCACAATCAACAACTGAGGAACTAGCAGAATAAAGAATTAGCAAAAGAATATCTTACTACTTTCCTTGGGACAGCAGAATTGCGCTGAACGACCGCTGGCACCCTCCGCCTCCCAAGGTCTACAAGGCCTCACTAGGCCTCATTAGGCCTCACTTCCCCACACAATGAGAACTGACAGCAGAGAACCTGCACCTTCAGAACCACTGGAAGGGAAGAGAACGAAGGCTTCTCTTCCCTTCTTCTTTATACCCTGGCTTATGTAAAAATCGTAGGGAATCCCGGGAACATGGCCACTTCCTTGATTACAGACTGGTCACCAAGGAAGGCCTAGACTAAAACTGCCACACCAAGGAAGGCCTATATCAAACCATCACAACCCCGCGTCCTCTGGGCACCCCAGGGTGTCCCCCTGGCTTCACTGGAGCTCAGAGAGGCCTTTGGGGTGGGTGTTGCCGCTGCCCTGACCCAACTCCTGGCTCTGGCTTGTGTCTTGGTGAGGAGAAGAGTTGAGAGGAGAAGAGAGAAGGTTCATTTATAACCCACAGAAACTAGAAAAAAAATGGCTTTCAACTCATGAAGCCAAAGCCCAAGCGATTAATTAAATGATAATAAAATTATGAGCAGATAAGCAGGGTCTTTGAGACAGTTTTAATAAAGGCAGTTCTTGCAGCCCCACCTCCAATATTTTCAAGTCCCATAAGTTTTGCACTTAAATCAGCTGTGAAAGGCAGGGTCTGATCAGCCTTAGGACTGTCTCTTCCCAGCAGGTCGAGTCCTAATCCAGCATTCCCTGATGTCCTTTCACTGCAGGGTCACCTGCTGAGCCTTTTGCTAAATGCCGTTTTGGGAGGATTTGACAAGGCAGGAGTTTAACAGACAAGATCTGACACCAGGGGGATCTCCCCTCGGGAGAGGGGATGGGAGGGACAGGGATGGAGCCACTGTCCCCCGGGAAATTATTGGAAAAGTGGTGAAGTCGAAGCCCTGAAGTTTTTTTTGCCTAAAGCAGGATGGCAGGTGTAGGGCTGGCAGGATTTTGGGGTGGAAATAACTTTTAATATGTGAAATCTCTGATTCCTCTCTCCCTTCTCCCACTGAAAACAATCCATGGGGATTCACTGGGGCTTGGCTGGGTTAAAGAGCAGCCTCTGCTCTGGATACTCAGGATACTCAGGAGGCAGGAATTCGTGCCCTGGATGGGGATGAGGCAGGAGGAGCTGCTGCTCCTGCAAACCACCTGTCCATCCTGATGCTCTGCAGCCGCCCTGGGCTTTCCCTGCTGCCCCAAAAATCAGGATTGGCTCCTTTTGTATAGGCAGCTGGATTCCCCTGGGATTTATGGCTCTTTAGAGGCCATGGAATGGGATAGGACTCACAGGACCACTGTGCCTGAGTGGCCTGGGGAGTGTTGTGCTCTGCTGTCTCTGGGGAAGGATGTTGTTATTTATGTTATGGATAATAATAATAATTATTAATATATTTATATGATACTTGAAAGCACCTGAGCTGCTCCAGCTGATTCCCTAACTCAGAACATCCCTAATTCCCTGTTAACTGTTGGATGCAGCAAGACCCTGGTGGTGGGAGGTGCTGAGTAAACAGAGAAGGCAAAAAGCAGCTCCTGGCCCAGGAAGCTGGAAAACTCATCAAATTTGGATGCTTTTACTGCAGAGAGGGTCTTTGAAACTTCCACTTCTCCAAAATAATTGAAAAAACTCGTTTTCTTCTCTCCTGGACACAAATCAGTGTTGCTTTTGGAATTCTGACCTTGGAAACCCCTAAAAATGCCATGAGGGTGTCAATCTGCCCCCGGGGTTGGCCAGGGGTGACACCTCCCAGGGCACACAGACATGGAGCCTCCTCCCCTTGGGAGGTGTGATAGAGACCCGTGTGTGCTCCCACATCACCAAACCCACCCTGGAATGTCACATATCCGACCTGAATGGATCATTTTAATCATCCCTGCTCCCTCCCCCTCTCCCACGGGAGCACCCAGGGATGGAGGGTGGGAAGGAGCTGCTGTCCCAAATCAACAGTGAACCTGACTCTTCTCCCCTCTGCTCCCTGGAATCCTGGTGCAGGAATCAGGCCTCAACGCCCACACACGTTCCCAACCTCCCTGTGGTTTTTACCTGTTTTTTTACCTCAGTAATTCTTTCAACAGCCTGGAAGGAAACCCATTGCTTCAAATTGAAGTGGAGCCCACCTCGGAGGTGAGACGCTCGCTCCTGTGCTTAATGGAGCTTTATTTGATCTCCATCTTGGGGCACATTTTGCAGGAAGGGGAGAAGTCGAGCAGCTGTGCAGGGAAATTGCTGATAATTGAATTAAAGGCCAGGCATCCGTGTCCCCACCCCGTGCAGAGGGACCCTCACAGGCTCCATGGGCGCCTTCAAGTTTATCATTCACTGGGGGCTTTTTAAGATGCATTAAAAACATGGTGGAGGGGAAGGAGGGAGGGTGAGGGTGAGGATGGAGCTTTTAAAGGCTGTTGGAAATCCTGCAGGAAGTATAAACATGAAGGGAAAAGTCAGAGCCATTCTGGGATGGGAGCAGTGGCACAGCTGGGCCAGGGTGGGAGGAAACTCAGCTTTCAGAGGAATTAATTCAATGCTCTGATGTGTCACAACCTCATGTTTAACCCTGGGGTAAATAAATGCCTTCCTGCAAACCACAGGGACGTGGTGGAGTCACCACCCCCGGGAGGGTTTAACAGACCTTGGGGACACGACTCAGTGGTGGCCTTGGCACTGCTGGGTTAGTGGTTGGACTTGATGGTCTCAGAGGGCTTTTCCAACCTAAAGGATTGTGTGATTCCCTGAAAATCTGGGATTCTGCTGACTTTGCATAGAACCCAACAGCCCAGATGGCTCTGGAAGCAATGGGAGCCTGGCTCCTCTGGGGCTGAGCGAGTGGTAGGTGGGTCAGTGGGGTTTGATCTGGGTTATATTCTTCATCTACAGTTTCCCCACACTCACCACCCTTTCCCACCCCCCTTCCAGAACGAGGAAGGCCCCGAGGAGGCGCAGGAATCCGAGGACGACTTCGAGGAGATGAACCTGTCGCTCCTCTCCGCCCGCAACTTCCCGCGCAAGGCCAGCCAGACCAGCATCTTCCTGCAGGAGTGGGACATCCCCTTCGAGCAGCTGGAGATCGGGGAGCTCATCGGGAAGGGCCGCTTCGGGCAGGTCTTCCACGGGCGCTGGCACGGCGAGGTGGCCATCCGCCTCATCGACATCGAGAGGGACAACGAGGACCAGCTGAAGGCCTTCAAGAGGGAGGTGATGGCCTACCGGCAGACACGGCACGAGAACGTGGTGCTCTTCATGGGAGCCTGCATGAGCCCCCCCCACCTCGCCATCATCACCAGGTAATGAGCCCTGGCCCTGGCTGGGAGCGGGTTTGATTCCCAGAGCGGTCAAACTTTGGTGCTGGTCAGACTTTGGTGCTGGTCAGACTTTGGTGTTGGTCAAACTTCCTGTGGTTCAAGCGTTGGTGTTGTGTGGAGGGACCTGCCCCCACAGAGGGGTGTTCTCCCCGTGCCATGGAGCAGAGAGCAAACCCACTAAAGTGTGTCCAGGTATGTTCTTGTCTGGGCTCACTCTTGTGCCAGTGCAGCTCGAGAGGAATGGTTTGTTTTATCCAGGGACGGGAATATTCATAGAATCCTGGAAAGGTTGGGGTTTGGAGGGATCTTAAAGCTCAGCTCGTCCCACTCCCTGCCATGGGGCATCTTCCACCATCCCAGGTTGCTCCAAGTTTATCCAACCTGGCCTTGGACACTTCCAGGGATCCAGGGGCAGCCACAGCTTCTCTGGGCAAACTCTGCCAGGGCCTCCCCACCCTCACAGGGAAGGATTTCTTCCCAATATCCCATCCAACCTTGCCCTCTGGCAGTGGGAAGCCATTCCCTGTGTCCTGTCCCTCCATCCCTTTCCCCAAATCCCTCTCCAGCTCTTTTGGAGACACTTCAGGCACTGGAAGACTGGAAGGTTTCTTGCTGAGGAGCAAGCTGGGATTTGAGGGTCTTCCAAACCATGGAACACCTCCAGAGCTTCCTCAGTCTCCAAGAATTCCCACATAGATGCCATCACCCATGTGCCTGGTGGGAAATGCAGCGTGGAGCCTCCCGCTGTGCACCTTCCATGGGTGGGCAACCACAAAATCCCAGCTGGCCTTGAGGCAGAGAGGCTGCAGCAGTTCCTGGAGCAGCTGCTGTCATGTGAAATACATTTATCCCTGAGAATTCCCTTATTTCCTTCACCCCCACACCACGTTTTCCACCCCGGTGCTGCTTTGTGTCCCACCACGGGTGACTCTCTCTCGGGGAAGTTTCCCCAAGGTGAGGTTGAATTTTCCTCCCGACAGCATTTCCAGGAGCAGTGAGATGGCAAAGCTTCCAACAGCCATCAGTGATGAAATATTGCATCATCCTTTCCTGATGTTCCCTTGGAAGTGGCAGCTCCCAGCCCACCCTGAGCCCAGCTCTGCGGGGGTCGGGGTGAGGAGTGGCTTTTCTCTGCTCCTCGGGCAACAGCAAAGGATTCCAACCCAAATTTGTGGCCCCTCCTGCCACTCCCTGCCCTGGTGTGTTCATGGGCTGTGTTTGCCTCAGGAATTACATCCTCAGGAGACAGGGTGACTCCAAAGCTGGGCTGGCTCTCTCCCCCCCCAGCTGGAGACTGGGAAAATTATGCCTTTTATTCCGGACCAAAAATTAGCCATCTGGGAAAATTCAGCAGCATTTCAGATCTCCATCTATTAACCAGCTTCGGGCCAAAAAGCTCTCGGAAAAGTGTGCAAACACATGTATTGATGGATGAGTCAGAGCCCCCATCCATGTGTTACACCCTGTTCCCAGAGGAAAAGGCAGCGTCTCCAGCCTGCTCCCCGATCCCTTTGCAGCCCCTGTTTGCTCAGCTTTTCAGTGCTATTCAGTATCAAACCCAATATATTCAATACCAAACCCAATATATTCATTTAGCTATTTTTTTCTCTTTTTGAGCCGCGTGGTGTCTTCTATCCTAATGCCTCTTTATAAAAAAACCATAAAGGTGCCACTTGTGACAGTTTGACAAAATAAATCCGTGCTCTGCAGCAGCCTGATGCCTTAATATGAGGGCTGGGAAGTGCTGCTTGCCTTGTTTCTCTTCCCAGCTGCACTTGGTCCCTTTTTTTTTTTTAAGGTCAAAGTACAACTTGATTGAATTGCCCCAAATATAACCCGAGCTCGGAGCGTCTCCAGGCATCACTTCCTCTTTGCCTACAGCCAACAACTCATTTTTATCCATATTCTTCAAAAGCTGAAGCAACATCAGCTTTAAGATGAAGGAGAGGAGATTTAGATGGGATTTTGGGAAGGAATCCTTCCCTGTGAGGGTGGGGAGACCCTGGCCCAGGTTGCCCAGAGAAGCTGTGGCTGCCCCTGGATCCCTGGAAGTGTCCAAGGCCAGGTTGGACGGGGCTTGGAGCAACCTGGGCTGGTGGGAGGTGTCCCTGCCCATGGCAGGGGGTGGCACTGGATGGGCTTTAAGGTCCCTTCCCACCCAAACCCTTCTGGGATTCTGGGATCATGATAATTCTGCAATTCCAACTGGAACTGTTTGGTTTTGCCCCGCTGGGATTCCTGGGGCACAATCAGCTCATGGTTGGGGCTGGTTGGCACTGGGGATGCAGGAAAGCCCATGGAGATGCTGGAAGGGGACTCAGTTCAGTCTCAGAGAACTTTTGGGAAGCCCAGAACTGCATTGGTGTGTATTCCTTAGCCCAGGGCTGATTTCCAGACACAGTTTTCCTGCTTTGAAGCTTTCCCATGGGGCTGGTGCTTCCCCAGGAGGCACCTTGGAGCTCTCAGTCTCATCCTTCCAATTTTCCAGAATGACAGCTCAGGGACTGTAGGATTATAGAATAGTTTGGGTGGGAAGGGAGCCTAAAGCATATTCCAGTCTCACCCCCTGCCATGGGCAGGGACACCTCCCACTAGCTCAGGTTGCTCCAAGTTTATCCAACCTGGCCTTGGACACTTCCAGGGATCCAGGGGCAGCCACAGCTTCTCTGGGCAACCTGTGCCAGGGGCTGACCACCCTCACTGTGGAAAACTTCTCAGGTCCAACCCAATCCTCATACCTAAGGATGCTCCTTGCCCTCGTGCCCACAGTCCTTGGTTGAACATTTTTGGGGGCTTCCTGGGACGTCTCTGATCATCTCCTGTGGGGAAAACCCTTCTCACTGGGTGGAATTCTCTATCCCATGAACGTTTCAGGTGTTTCCTAAGGGATAGGACAGCCCTGGGGACTCTTCTGCCATGGCACAGGTGGGAGCTGTGCTTGGGTATCCTAGGGAATGAGTCTGGGGAGAGGATAACGTAGCAGGAGATGGATTGGGAATGGTCAAGGATATTGGGAATAGTCAAGGATATTGGGAATGGTCAAGAATACTGAGAATGATTCAGGATGTTGGGAATGATTCCGGGTGTTGGGAATGGTCCGGGATGTGGCACTGGGAGAGGAGGGAGACCAATGACCCTGAGCAGGGCAGAGCATCGCTCTTCAAACAGGAATTTTCCAAAGGGACTCAAGTTCTCCCCGTGGGTTTATTGGAATAGCTTTAAACAAGGCTTTGCTTGGAGTGGGGGAAAGCTGTTCCCAGCTGCCCAACACAAAGCCAGGATGTCTGGAATTCCTCACCCACTCCTCCCTGTGCTCCTCCCTGGGGCAGGACTGGGGCTGTGCAGCCCCTTTTTTCTTCTGGGTGCCCAGAGGTGGTCGCTGGAGGCCGGTTTTTTCCACCAAATCCAATTTCTTGGAGCTGTTAAAGAAATCTCTGCTCTCCTACCGGCACCCTGGGAGCAGCTGCCTGTCCCTGGAAGGGGCTTCACCACGTCGAGCCACCCGGCGCTGCCGGAAGGGGGTTATTTATAGATGGGTTTATTTTTACTTTTTCCCATCCCTACGTTTTCCTTCCTGATTGCTGGTGATATTCAAGGATTGTCTGATTAGCAGAAAGAAATCTCCCCCTCCAGAACTGACATCCCACGGGGAAAAGCTGGCAGGGGAAACTGAGGTAGTGGATTGCTGAGGGTGTGATGGAGAAGGGAAGGCTCCAGGGAGACCTGAGAGCTCCTTGCAGGGCCTAAAGGGGCTCCAGAAGAGCTGGAGAGGGACTGGGGACAAGGGATGGAGGGACAGGACACAGGGAATGGCTTCCCACTGCCAGAGGGAATATTGGGATGGGATATTGGGAAGGAATTCTTCCCTGTGAGGGTGATGAGGCCCTGGCACAGGTTGGGCAGAGAAGCTGTGGCTGCCCCTGGATCCCTGGAAGTGTCCAAGACCAGGTTGGACAGGACTTGGAGCAACCTGGGAGAGTGAAAGGGATCTGGAACTAGATGATCTGTAAGGTCCCTTCCAACCAAAACCATTCCATGATCCCAGAGCATTTCTGAGGTGCCTTTCAGATCCCACCCCTCTCTCCCCACTCCTGGGTGTATTTTGGGAGCAGAAGCCATGGATTCCTGCCTCCCCTAACCCTGCCCATGTCCCAGCACCCGCTCTGGGAGCCGGATCATCCTGCTCTCCTCGAGTTGTTTTCCCCTTCTCTCTTCCCACTGCCAGAGGATTAGATGGGATATTGGGAAGGAGTTCTTCCCTGTGAGGGTGGTGAGGTCTTGGCACAGGTTGCTCAGAGAAGCTGTGGCTGCCCCTGGATCCCTGGAAGTGTCCAAGGCCAGGTTGGACGGGGCTTGGAGCAACCTGAAGGTGTCCCTCCCTGCCCATGGCAGGGGGTGGAATGAGATGAGGTCCCTTCCAGCCTTCCAGGTCCCTTCCAACCCAAACCAGTCTGTGGTTCCTGAGTTGTGTCTGAACGCGACCAGCAAAGGCAGAAATCCAGCATTTTTCAGCACTGGGAGGTGGTGACTCCCAGGAACACTTCCATCAGAGCCACTAATAGATCTTCTCTGGGGTAATGAGCAGTGGGGACAGTTAACATTCATCTTAATTAGTCCTGAGCAAGAGGAGTGGGAGCCTCAGTGCTTTGAGCGCTGCCGAACGGGCGGAGCGGAACAGCATCAAAGTCCTCGGCTCGGTGGAAGTGAAAGGACTGAAAAAACACCCTGTTTGCTGCTCCCAGGGAAATAACATCCTGGGGTTGTTGGTGTTCAGTGAGACAAAGCCAGGCCTGGCTAAGCTCGTGTCAGCTCTTTGAGGCTCCTGGCCCCGGCCTGGGATTAGAGGTAAAGCCTCAGCCACCCAGGGGTCCTTCAAAGGACAAAGTCGAACCCTTTTCTGTTCCCCACAAAGGGGGTGGATTGCAGAAATCACCATGGTTTAGGATTCTGGGTGTTCCTTCCAGGAAAAGGAAAAAAGGGGG